TTATTTTCTTCCGTTCGTTTGCCAACAAATTTTAGAAAGAAGCAATTACATTTTTTATTTATCAAATAATTTTATTCTTTATTTATTTATTTTATTACATAATAGTTATTACTAACTAATCATAAAGTCAATTGGTCGATCTTAATTCTCTCATGGAGAGCGCCCCAATTCTCTCATGGAGAGCGTCCTCTCTCGATTGATCTGTTGAAGTTTTTCTCATTCCTCCCCCTAACATACTTTCTTTGATTTACATTCACCACTTTCTCTACCTATTTAGCTTCTTATTAATCCTATTTTATTGGGGGACCTCGAAATTTAGGGTTTTCCGATGGGCTCGTCCCAATGTATTGGGCAAGATGAGGAACTAGCTAAGCGGTTGCATATAGTCTCCTTATCAGACCAGGAAAATAACCTCATTGATATAGCCAAGGTTGATATCAAAATCAGCGATGACGAATGCCATCGGAGTCTGTTCGGCAAAATCATCGGAGACAGACGAGCAAGCTGGGTTGGAGTCAAACGTTCCATGAGCAATACATGGAGATTACAGCAAGCCATGGAAATCAAAGAGCTAGACCCAAATTATTTCCAATTCATTTTCCAAAACAGAGAAGATCTTCTCCGGGTGGCAAAAGGAACAAATTGGATATTCGATAACCAATACTTGATTTTGGCAGAATGGAGAGATGGACTCTCAATCAACCATAATATTTTTTCAGAACTTAATATCTGGGTACAAGCATTCAATGTACCACTCAATTGGCTGAGCACGGAAGTTCGGCTGAAGATTGGCGGCATCTTCAAAAGAGTGAACAATGTGGTAGTAGTAGGAGCTGGTAGCCATGGAGGACGGGTAATGAGATTGCTAGTGACAATAGACTTAAATGAGGCCCTTCCCAGGTGTGCTCATATCTGACTGGAAGATCAAGCAGTCACTGTTGGTTTCAAATACGAGAAGCTGGTGAACCACTGCCATTACTGTGGTTTTATTGGCCACTTAGAAAGAGGGTGCACACAAAGAATAAATGACATCAAAGCCAAAAACCTGAAGGAAAGGCAATTTGGCGGCTGGATGTGCGCTCCAGATTTCCTCAACTGGGCAAATTTAGGCCAATCTAGTTTCAGAAACACACCACCATCAGACAATAACACCCTCGCCTCTCCAAATCACACCCCCATTCACACATCCAATAGTCATGTAGAAGATAACAATCAACTCATCCTCATTCAAGAAAACCCTCCCACCCAACATATTCAATCTCCTCCACACACAGACCCTTCAACCCCCACATCCTCTATACCCACTAAGCCAGTCAATTCACTCTTAGTGATTCATCACCCTGATACCACCCATCATATAGCCATGGACCTTGAACCAACTCATCATCAAAACCCTCAAATCTCTCATAGTCACCCTCATTCTCTACAAATTACCACGAGAACGTGGAAAAGATCAGCTAACAGAGAAGGCAGGCTTCTCAGACAGGAGACACCAACATCTAGTGGAAAAAGGCCAAGACTGGAACTTATCTTAGAGAATGCTGAGAGTGATGACCATCTAAATGATCAGACAAACAGGAAGAAGAGCAAATCATCAGAACCGAAGGTGGGGGCTACCAGCCTTTAATGGCACCCGAGTGACAAATGCTAGCTGCGGTGTGAAACTGTAGAGGGCTGGGTGGGCCCTCTACGGTTTCCCAAATCAGAGAGTCACTAAGGACTCACCACCCGGGATTTACGTTTTTATCTGAAACCAAGAACAAGCAAAGTTTTGTTAAAACAGTGGTGAAAAAACTGGGTTTTGAAAATAGATGTATTATTGTTGATCCTCAAGGCCAAAGTGGAGGGCTTCTTCTATTTTGGAATAGTGATATTACTATCATTCAGTCTGTCAGCAAACAGTTCTACATAGCTGTTGAATTCAAAGGGCAAGAAGATTACACATCATGGGGTGTTTTTGTCTACTTGAGCACAGACAAACTCACCAGAGAAAGCCAATGGGAGGAGCTGATTCTAGAAAAAATCTGTTGGGGCAATAAATGGTTTATTATTGGCGATTGGAACGACATTTGATTTCCAGAAGAAAAAAAAGGAGGCAGAGACAGAGGTGAGAGAACTTTCTCTGGTTTTAATTAGTTCATCTGCAAAATGGAAATGGAAGAACTTTCTATGATGGGCTATCAGTTCACTTGGGCAAACAATAGGATCTCTGAGGAGTTTATTGAAGAAAAACTTAACCGTGCATTTGCATCTTTGGACTGGATGGAGCACCATCACAATGCATCAGTCATGAATGTTATAAAAAGTGCATCTGACCACTCCATGCTGCTACTTACCCATGGCACACCTCAAGATAAACCCAAACGCAGATTTAGTTTTGACAAGCGTTGGTTAGAGATGGAGGGTTGTTCTGATGTGATTAAGCAAGCTTGGTCTACCCATCATCTAGGAACTCCCCTATTCATTCTCAAGGAGAAAATCAAATACACTAGACTTGCTTTACTCCAATGGAGTTCACAGTTCAGAAAGCAGAGACTTAGTAGGATACATGATCTTACAAATCAGCTTGAGGCTTTAAAAACTGAAGGGAGAGATAAAGACTGGGATGCTTGGGACAAAACCACAAGAGACCTTAATGCAGCCTATAGCCTTGAAAAGCTGTTTTAGCAACAAAAAGCTAGACATCGATGGCTCAGGCATGGGGATAGCAACTCCAGTTTCTTCCACGCTTATGTCAGACATAGGAGAAAGATGAACTCAATTACCAGACTGGTGGATAGGAACAACATGTCCTTCCAATCCCAAACAGAGATTGAAAACCACATTACAGATTTCTACAATGATCTCTTCACATCTGAGGGCTCATGGGGTGAAGACAATCTACTTCATTTCATCCTACATTCCATTACTGATGATATGAACAGAGACCTCCTCAAACCAATGGAAGATGATGAGATCAAGACAGCTCTCTTCAGCCTTGCTTCTGAGAAGGCCCCAGGTGAGGAAGGTATGAGTCCTCTTTTTCATCAGCACTTCTGGGATATTATTAAACTGGACTTTCTTGCTGCCATCAAGAGTTTTTTCTCTTCCGGAATGATGCTCAAATACTGGAATCAAACCCTCATTACATTGATTCCAAAATGCAAGAACCCTGAATACATTGATCAGTTCAGACCTATCAGCCTATGCACAGTGGTCTACAAGACCATCTCAAAACTTCTTGCAACCAGATTTCAAGCATGCCTAGATAACTGCATCAATCCTTGTCAATCAGCTTTCCTCAAAGGCAGACAGTTATTAGACAATGTCATAATTGCACATGAGGTATTTCATTTTCTAAATAGGCATAGAAATGGAAATCACTACTACATGGCCCTGAAACTGGATTTGATGAAAGCATTTGATAGAATTGAGTGGAAAAGTCTTCATGGGATTATGTTAAAAATGGGGTTTGCCCCTCTCTTTGTGAAACTGGTTATGGCATGTCTCTCTTCCTCTTCCCTGGCTTTTAACATCAATGGTCATGTGAGCAAAGCAGTATCTCCCTCAAGGGGCATCAGGGAGGGTGACCCTTTGTCACCCTATGTTTTCCTTATTTGTTGCTGAGCTTCTATCATCCATGATATCCAATGCAATTCACACTGGTTCCTTATCTGGGCTGAAAATTTCAAGGGATGGACCAACCCTCTCTCATCTTCTGTTTGCAGATGATGCTCTTCTTTTTTGTAGAGCTGGGGTGGATCAAGTGCAATGCCTTCTCTCCATATTAGAGAATTTCAGACTTTACACAGGCCAAAGAGTGAACTTACACAAGTCTACAATCTTCTTCAGCAGAAACTCTCCTCATATACTACAATCTAGAATCTGTGCACATCTTCCTGGGATAAGCAGACATCACTCAACCAGATATCTTGGATTGCCCCTTGGCATTGGCAAATCGAAAAAAGAAGCTTTTGATTATATTATCCACTCAGTTGTTCATGTGTGATTTTACACCATATTTATTGAGTATCTAGAGCTTAGTCATTGCGTTATTGGTGTATAAATCGCATATTTATGCTTTAATTCTCTATTTGTTGGAAAGGTATTACACGTGCTTGTTTTGTATATATTTTCACGTATTTTTAGAGCTTGTGGCTATTGGAGGCGCATTGTGAGTACCTAGGACCCCCGAGATGATGATGGATTGATGCACGGATGAGAAATATAGAAGAAACGAGTGAAACGGACAAAAACGAGAGTGCTGGGATGTGACACGGACGGCGACACGGGCACCATGCCCGTGTCAGGTGGCCGTGTCACGTGAACAGGGACATTCCGAGGACTTGAACTTGACACGACCTGCGACACGGCCGGTGACACGGGCCGTGTGGCCGTGTCGCGTGCGGAAACAGATTTTTAATGCTTACCTATTTTGACGAGGAGAAGGTTTTTGGGACACAAAAGGAAGCATATTTAACCTAGTTGAGAGGCAAAAAAGAAGGGGACACGTTAGAAAGGCTTAGAAAACACACAAGAAGAGCAATTGGAAGGCAAAGGGAGATCAACCACAAAGGGATCAAGGAGATTGAAAGATCGACGAGATTCCTAGTTTTTCCTTTCTTCTTTCTTTTGAACTTTTATTGATCATCTCGATTTCTAATATGTCTATGTATTTGAATTCGAACATGAGTGGCTAGTTTATTTGATTCTAAGACTTGGTAGTAGATTAATATGTTGGGATTTTGGATGAATTATTATTATTGATTGTTTTTCTTTTGAACCATATTCAAATATTTTGTTCTTGTTTCATGTTTAACACTTGATCAATGCTTTTACATGTTTGACAATATTGTTCATAATTCGAGAGATGAGTTCAATGTTAGGTCTTTGATATTTGACACAATTTACTTGCTTAAATCGAGAGATTAGTAGGTCGTTGTGAGGATATTAGATCTTTTAATCTATTTGGAGTTGAATTGCATGTGTTGAGTGGAGACGCTAATATATGTGATTTAATCTACGGTTTTATTGATCTCGAGAGGGACAATAAGCTAAATTTGTGATCGTCTTATAGGGTAGATAAAGAAAACATTGGTTGTGATACTTTTGAAGGAACCCAACTATTAATTGAAACCAA